ATGGACTTTCAACACTTGTTCATTCTTTTTCCTTGTCTCCTGACTGTATATCTTGAGCAAATAACATTTTTTTTAAAGGGACCCATGCAATCTATGTTTTTACAAACTCCACAATCTTCCTTGCCTAAATGAAAAACATTGCTTGCTCAAATGTGCTTTGAATTTTATTCCAAATTCCAGTGACCACAGAATCTTTGATTTATTTTCAAATAGCTAATGCTTGAGGCCAAATGTAGATCTCTCAGGCTGGGAGAGGTTGTTAGGGATCATCTAGAATTTCCCTCTGTATTACAGACTGTACTGTTGGAGTGCATGTGTAATGTATAAAGTCTCTGACTCATGACTAACAGACAAATTTAAGTCATGCTGTCCATTATGTAGCTTCTAATTGTCAGGAAGCATTTAACAGGAGGCTTCCTGTGTGCTGTTTTGGATCTGTCAGGAAACCTTTGGCCCTTATTAATTCCTGAATATTCAGGAATTAAGAGGAGAGGCATGCCTTTCCCAGGGCTGAGGAATCTAGGCATTTCCTTTGTGTTTTATAAGTCTGGAATTTTAATCTTTATCTTTGCTGAGAGTAATACCTTATAAGACAGTATATAGGCCCACATCATGTGGATTAAAACACCTTTGCTCCATCAGAGCTTTGGTTCCCGTGTCTTTCTTTCTTTTCCTCTCTTTCTCTTTATCTCTCTATTTCTGGCTGATTCCCTGGAATGCGAAAGCCAGCTGCTTAACCCAGGGAATATTAGCCTATTTCCTTCTTTCACTTTCTCATCATTGACTCCGGACCACCAGGTTCCAGTCCAATAAAGGACCAACACTAATCAGTGGTATTTCTAAACATTATAATGATATGCTATGCATGTTGCATGCTAAGTTGCTTTAGTCATTTCCGACTCTGTGCGACCCCACGGACAGCAGCCCACCAGGCTCCCCTGTCCACAGGATTCTCTAGGCAAGAATACTGGAGTGGGTTGCCATTTCCTTCTCCAGGATGATAAGGCAATCTGATAAGTAAATTTTTATATCCTCTGATAGTCTGATCTTTCTGTCCAAGAGTACACTGTGACTTCTAGGAGAAAGACAAAACAAAGATATTTAATTCATAAAATCTATTTCCTGATCTGAAACTTTAAAAAAAAAGTCAGAATAGAGTGGGCATTCATCATGAAATATTAATGAAGTTTACATACACGTACACAGACACACTTCAAGTCATCACAAAGCTCTGTTCTGAAATAATACTTAAAAGAAAATAAACATCTAATTTAGCAGTAGTGAATCCAAACCTGGACAGGAGTCTGTGGGAAGAAAAACACAAGCTGCAACTAGTGAGTACATGCCAGCTATGGATTTTAAGGGTCTTTTTTTAGAATTGTGGGCTACATTCTTAGGGTAAACAGTATCTGGATGACTTGGCCTTTCTGCTGCAAAATTCTAGAAGCTGCCATCACACAGAATAAAATATTATTGGCACTCTCTGGAGCAGTGCCATGGGCAGGCACTGCTTGTGGGCCCTGGGGTCTCTGGGGTTCTTGTCTCATCCTATGTGACAGACACTGGGGGAGCAGTGATTGTTTGGTCTAAGCTTATTTTGCATCTTTCCTTTCAACTGCGGTGACTTCAATGAGGGTAAATATAATTCTGAAGTGCTACCTTGAATTTATTTAGAAAAAGAGAAATTTCATGACTTTTATTGGAAAATGATTGAAAATGTCTCCTTTCCCCCATAACTTCACTTTGGCTGATACAGTGTTAGTCTTCCCATGGTCATCATTAATTTTTCAAACATTTGTTGCACTAGAAGAGACTTAGGTATTGCCTTAATAAGGTATGTAACCAGGACATATGCTAATTCAGCTAAAAAAATTTAAACTTGAGCTACTCAAACTACAGGGCTAATGCAGAAAACACAGTTAAATTACAACTAAGAATGTAGGTAATTCCCCAGAGGTCACTCTTCTGCAAACAAATCATTTACATTTATTTAGTGATTTAATCCATGAACATCTTTAGTTTTATAAACTAGATATGAGTTTCTATCAAAAGTAACCATAAAGGAACACCTTAAAATAGTTTTATCTTTTGAAAATGTACCCTGTTGTCTACTGTTTTGCCAACAAACAGAATAACAAACAGCTCCCTCACCTCTGTGTTGTTCTCAGCTATCACTTACCTGCTTTCTTTCCCAACACAATTTCTCAAATGAACTATCTTTTCTGCTTCTATTGCTTTGCTTCCCATTAACTCTTTATTTCCTGTGTACTCAGCTGTGTCCGACTCTTTGCGACCCCATGGACTGTATCCCACCAGGTTCTTCTGTCCATGGAATTTCCCAGGCAAGAATACTGGAGTGGGTTGCCATTTCCTGCTCCAGAAGATCTTCTGATCCAGGGATTGAACCTGAGTTTCTGGTGTCTCCTGCATCGGCAGGCGGATTCTTTACCAACTGTGTCACATTATTTTTGTTTAACCAATTTCAATTCATTGTCCATCCTCCCAACTCAGGACACAGTTTCTGCCAAATGCACTAGAACTCCCTTGCTGCAAATCCAGTGGTCACCTTTGTTATTATCTTGCTCAACCTCTCGGCAGTCCCCTCTTGCAGTTATACAGGCCCCTCTCTTGGCTCTTCTGATTTTCCTCTGACATATGGCCACTATCTCTCAGTCCTCTTTGCTGCGTTTTTTCCCTTTTCTGCTCACCTTTGTGTCATAGTACCCAAATCTGATTCAAGTTCTCATCTCTTCACTAACTCTATTTATTCTCAGAAAATCTATCTCCCCTTGTCCCTTGGCTTTACATGCCATCTACATGTCAATGACAGCTGAAGTTTTAGCTCTATCCCTGATCTCTCTATTAAATTCCAAACCCATTTATCGAACTTTCTCTATGGCATCTTCATTTAGATTTCTAATGGGTATCATAAACCCAGTATGGCTAAAATAGAAATCTTAATTTCTCTTCAAATCTGTTCCAGTCTTTTCGGCTCCAGAATCACTGCAGATGGTTACTGCAGACATGAAATTAAAAGACACTTGCTCCTTGGCAGAAAAGTTATGACCAACCTAGATAGCATATTAAAAAGCAGAGACATTACTTTGCCAACAAAGGTCTGTCTAGTCAACGCTACGGTTTTTTCATTAGTCATGTATGGATGTAAGAGTTGGACTAAAAAGAAAGCTGAACACTGAAGAATTGACGCTTTTAAACTGGTATTGGAGAAGACTCTTGAGAGTCCGTTGGACTGCAAGGAGATCCAACCAGTCAATCCTAAAGGAAATCAGTCCCGAATAGTCATTGTAAGGACTGATGTTGAAGCTGAAACTCCAATACTTTGGCCACCTGATTTAAGAACTGACTCATTGGAAAAGACCCTGATGCTGGGAAAGATTGAAGGTGGGAAGAGAAGGGGACGACAGAGGATGGTGTGTTTGGATGGCATCACTGACTCAATGGACGTGAGTTTGAATAAACTCTGGGAATTGGTGATGGACAGGGAGGCCTGGTGTGCTGCAGTCCATGGGATTGCAAAGAATTGGACATGACTGAGCAACTGAACTGAACTGAGTCTTACCTATGTCAGGAAGTCACATCAAAATGTACCTGATTGTTTAGGCCACACATCAAGTAATCATTCTTAGTTCTGCTCCTTTTTCTTTGCTTTCTCACTCACTTAAACCAAAATTATTTCTGTTAATTTCACTGTCAAATATGTCTCATATTTGCATATTTCTCTTCATCTCCTTTTTTTTTTCCCATCCTAGTCCAAATCACTATCTTTTTACAAGGATTATTTCAACATTTCAACAGTCTACTAAATGGTCTCCTCACCCACACCCCCTGCTATTTCTGCCTCCCTGCCTCTCTTTATCTACTTTCCACACCAGAACCAAGTAATGCTTTTGAAGAAGGTAAATGAAACCATATCACTGGCCTATTTACATTTTCCAGCAGCTTCTCATTATACTTGTTAGTAGATATCCCAGTATTATTCACCACGGCTTTTGTAAGCGTCTACATAACACTTCAAGGAAACATCTTGCACCAACTTCTTTCTCATTCACTCTGCTTTTCTCATTCTTAGTCCTGGAAAATACCAGGCTTTCTCCCATTTTAAAGCTTTTTATTTGCTTTCCCTATACCCTAAATCCTTTCTCCTCATTTCTTAGCAGGAACTGTTCTTTCTTTTCATTTGAATTTCAGCCAAAATATCATCTCAGAGACTTTTCTCCCTGACCAGTCAATGAAAGTGTTCTCTACTCTTGCTCTGTCTTATCACTTTCTTTTATTTTCCTCTGAACATTTATAAGATATGGTTTACCTTGTTTATTTACTCAGTAGAACATTAATTCAATGGGAGAAGCTTTTTTGTTTAATTTGTTCATTGCTATATCTTCTGGACTTAGAACATACCTGATAAATAATAAGTGCTTGGTAAATATTGGTGGAATGAGTGAATTTGTTTATTCCTGTATTTTTTATGTCCCTCTCTGCACCATATTGATATAAGCTTCATGGGTGGAGGGACTTTACCTTGTTTATAGTTGTGTACTAAATGTCTAGGCTACTGTCTGGTCCATAATAGTCCCTCAATAAATATTTATTGAACAAACAGGCAGAACCTAGAATGGGAGAAGAACAGGCTGTCTAAGCAGCACCCCTGGCCTCCTTGCCTCTCTTCTCCTCACCTGGCTCTCGCTGCCTGCCTGCCCTGCTGCTTGCTCGGTGCCCAGAATACCTTCCACCATGGCCACCTTGGCGAGTTCCCACTTGAACAAAGGCATCAAGCAGGTGTACATGGTCCTACCTTAGGGTGAGAAAGTCCAAGCTATGTACATCTGGATCGACGATATTGCAGAAGGACTGCACTGTAAGATCTGAACCTTGAATTCTGAGCCCAAGTATATAGAAGAGCTGCCTGTGGAATTTTGATGGCTCTAGTACTTTTCAGTCTGAAGGCTCCAACGGTGACATATATCTTGTCCCTGCTGCAGTGTTTCGGGATCCTTTCTGCAAGGACCCCAACAAGCTGGTGTTTTGTGAAGTCTTCAAGTACAACCGAAAGCCTGCAGACAACAATTTAAGGCACACCTATAAACAGATAATGGACATGGTTAGCAACCAGTGCCTATGGTTTGGAATGGAGCAGGAATATACTCTTATGGGCACAGATGGGCACCACTTTGGTTGGCCTTCCAATGGCTTTCCTGGACCCCAAGGTCCATACTACTGTGATGTGGGAGCAGACAAGGCCTACCACAGGGATATTGCAGAGGTTCACCACCAGGCCTGCTTGCAGGCAGGCATCAAGATCTGGGGTAGGAATGCCGAGGTCATGCCTGAGCAGTGGGAATTCCAGATAGGACCCTGTGAAGGAATCAACATGGGAGATCATATGTGGGTGGCCTGTTTCATCTTGCATCGTGTGTGCGAAGACTTTGGAGTGATCGCCACCTTTGATCCTAAGTCCATTCTTGGAAACTGGAATGGTGCTGGCTGCCACGCCAACGTTAGCACCAAGGCCATGCAAGAGGAGAATGGTCTGAAGTACACTGAGGAGGGCATTGAGAAACTAAGCAAGCAGCACCAGTACCACATCCGAGCCTACAATCCCAAGGGGGTCCTGGGCAACGCCAGGCACCTAACTGGATTCCATGAAACCTCCAAAGTCAAGGACTTCTCTGCCGGCGTGGCCAACCTTGGTGCTAGCATCCACATCCCTCGGACTGTTGGCCAGGAGAAGAAAGGCTACTTTGAAGACCGTCGCCCATCTGTCAACTGTGACCCCTCTGCCATGACGGAAGCCCTCATCCTCACATGTCTTCTGAATGAAATGGGTGATGAGCTCTTCCAGTACAAGAACTAAGTGGGCTAGACTTGCAGCCCTCAAAGCACCTCTCAATTCTACATCTTGCTCCCACTCTTGCCCCTCTCAATGTCATAATAACAATAACTCAAAGGGTAGAATATCAAGGTTTTTTTTTTTTTAATTCCTCACACCCAATTAATATCTCTTGCTTTCTTTAGTCAGGATTGAGAGTCAAGTTCTTAATCATTTCACAACCACCTACCTATCCCTGCCCTTTTATTTTTCCTATCACTGGAGCTTTCTCCTGCATTCCTTGGGGTTGGGGAAACATAACCACTGCTTCCATTTAATCAGGTGTGTTTGTCCAATAGGCATAGCTTTCTGGACAGAGAGCCCAGTCACTGTGAAGAGATGGGGAGGACTTTTCTGAGTGGTTTCTGAGTGGGGGACTGGGGTGCTGGATTCTGTGGTTTGGTTAGGATTTCCCTTCTTGGTGGGAGGTTCCATTACTTAGGAGGTTGTAACCAACTTTCTAATAAAACTGAGAATTAGAGGGGAAGGAAGGGTGGGAAGTAAGGTAGGAAAACGCCCTAGATCTCCTGGTGTGGTGCTTCCCTTGCCTGGGGCTCAACGCCCTGACAGGCTCAGCATAAATGGATGGATAGCCCTACCTTCAAAGAAAAAGTTCTCATTGTGTGGTCCTCCATTTATAACACAAAGCAGAGTAGTATTTTTATATTTAAACGTAAAAACTATATATATATATATATATAGGTGTGCAGATAAATGTTGTTTTCTTTTTAGGGAGAAAAGGCCATTCTGGTTACCGGGAACCCAAATTTGAGACAAGTAGTTTGGTTAGAAATAAGGATCTCCTTTTGAGTTGGGGTGGGGATGGGGTGGCCGTGCTGGAAAACTTGGCTGTTTGGGGCTGTTACTCTGTCGCTACCACTTCAGAGATTCTCTCTGCCCTGCTTGCCCTTCTGGGGAGGCTGACATTGGTTGGTTAACAGATGGAAGCCCATGATAGCAGTAGTCATCACCTGAGCCCCGGGTTTGAAAAGACACACATGTACTTGTACACACAGGAGTCTGGCAATATGTGTTGGCTGGTCAACTTGAGCTTGTTACTGACAAGGGGGTATTGGGTTTTATTTTTCCGGTGGGACTAGCATGTCACTAAAGCAGGCCTTTTGATATATTAAAAGAAATTTTTTTAAAGAGCAAAACAGAAGTTTAGATTTTAATCATATTTGTAGGGTTTCTAAGTCTTTGTTTTACAGAATTGCTTGCTTTCTTCATCTGTCTCCTCCCCATCTCTGCTCTGGAGGAGATGGGACAAGTCTGGAGTTCAAACAGTTGTAATTTTGTACCTTGGAGTCTGTTCTCTGAGTGTGAAATATTCCCTTCCTTTGTTAAGATTCCTGAGGAGTTACTATTTTTTTTTCTTTTATAATAAAACAAACTCCACTTTTGTCCTTAAAAAAAAAGAATAAAACACTATGATTAATGTACCCAGTATTTGTGAAATAAATGTGGTTTAACATCACTTTTCTTGGCTGTTTAATGAAGAAGACTATCTCTTAATTCTGAGGAAGTGTTTTAATTCTTATCAATTTTCTCACAAATGTGATAGACTCAGAATAGCAAGTTATGTTTGTCACCTTCCCTGGACAGCAGTCTTATCCAGGGTGAAGAACGTGGATGCATGTAAAGTGAATATAACCATAGGACAGTATGTCTATTAGGTCATAAGCTCCTTGACAGCAGAGTGTCTCAGGCATTATATCCATGGAGACTAGAAGTGCTTTCATCTAGTTACTCACATTTACTGAATTGAAATGTTAAAATTTTAAGGAAAAAGATGGAATCCTAAACCTGTCCAGAAAGAATAAAAAAGTCATAAAAGAGAAAGATTCAAAGTGGTATCATCCTACTTAACAGCAACTCTGGATATAAAGAAATAGTGGAATGCTACCTTCAAAATACTGAGTCACCAGAAGTGCTCTGTACTTTTCCTCTCATTAAAAAACTCAGTGGAAATAGCTTTTCTTCCCCAATACTGGAAATACTGATAGAATTTCAACTTATAGTCTTATATTCAGTCTAAATATTAATCAAGTGTGAGGGTAGAATAAAGATATTTTCAGGCATGCAAAGAGTGATGGAAGAGAAGTCCCATGCAGCTTTTATTACAGAGGTTTCAGAGAACGTGTTTTATCAAAAATAAGGACTGAACTGAAAAATGAAGATACATGAGGTTCAAGATGCAAAATAACTCATACGGTGAGCAATGCTAAAAAGTCCTAGGATAACATTTGTGCAACAAAGTCAAAGAATGATTACTTCACACAGGGTTGATGATAGAGGTCAAGGAACAGAATCTGTAGGAAAAAAAGAAAAAAAAAAGGATATTCTACTTGATATATTTGATGCATTTGGGAGAAATTATTAACAAACATTTAAAAAAATCTGTTGAAGAACTCACAAAATAAATAGGGAATTGATATAGGACAAATGAAAAAAATGAGGCAATTATTAACTAAAAGTTCCCTGGTAACTCAGTTGGTAAAGAATCCGCCTGCAATGCAGGAGACCCCGGGTCAATTCCTGGGTTGGGAAGATCCCCTGGAGAAGGGACAAGCTACCCACTCCAGTATTCTGGCCTGGAGAATTTGCACAGTCGAACATGAACGAGCAACTTATACTTTCACTTTCAACTGTACTAGAAAGGAAATGTAATCATTGTACTCATTTTGGCTGGACAGTGACAATATTGACATGGTCATAATCATATTTATCATGACTATCGGTTTAACTCCATTTTGTGATATAACCATATTAGGAAGGTGACAGTGATGCTGTGTTACCATAAAACAAATTCAGTAGATAAAGTCTAATATTTTTTAAAATGTATTTATTTTTAGTTGGAGGATAATTACTTTACAATGTTGTGTTGTTTTCTGCCTGTACATCAACATAAATCAGCCATAGGTAGATAATGTCTAATACTGACAAATCAAGGAGAAAGCATATAACTTAGAAACTGCTAAAATGGAGTTGGATTGACAGTGGGAGTAGAACATCATATTGCTGTTTTTTTTTTTTTTTTTGATGGGACGGGAGTGGGAGAACAGAACTTTGTAATACCTCTTACTTTTTAGATAACGTGCCACTAGTATTTTGATTTAAAATATCTTTGATTTTAAAAGAAAAAGATTTAGTTATAAGTTAATGTGTGCATTATTTTACTGAGCAACAAGAACAATAATAACAATAGTATGTGCATGCTAAGTCACTTCAGTGGTGTTTGACTCTTTGCAACCCTATGGACTGCAGCCTGCCAGGATCCTCTGTCCATGGGGATTCTCCAGGCAAGAATACTGGAGTGGGTTGCTATACTCTCTTCCAGGAGATCTTCCCAACCCAGGGATCGAACCCACATTCCCTGTGTCTCCAGCATTGAGAAGATACGTTACTGCTGAGCCACTGGGGAAGGGAAATCCTATTAATAGTTCTCATGCTTATGTTAAGAATTCCACTGGGGGTGAGGAATAATGATGCAAGGAATCCTTGGTGAAGTAAAAGTAAAGAACCAACAAGTGAGACCCACTGGGTTTGATAATTTATTTCATAAATTTTCATAATTTTCTGTTAGAGTTCTCCATGTGAGAAACTTAGAATCTGTGTTTTTTTCCGAAGCAGTTGTTGAGCTTCCCCAGGGCCACTTTACCCAGTTTTTTATCTTCCCACTCAAACCAAACATAAAATTATCCTTCTACCAGGTTTTCTAAGGCCATTTGATATTTTTTCTAACATGATTTTAAAAGGTCAATAATTGATGGGCATTATTAATAAAGAATTTGGAAGCTAAAATTATTATTAGGTGCTTGTTACTTACATCCCATTCATTTGTCCAAAGATCTGAGGTATTAACACATCAGTGAGTATTAGTAAACTTATGATGCATCTAAATCTATTATACTACTAATAATATCTACCACTTACATAATACTAACTATGGACTGGCTTCCCCAGTGACTCAGCGGTAAAGAACCTGCCTGCAATGCCATAGATGCAGGAGACTGGCTTCGATCCTGGGTTGGGAAGATCCCCTGGAGAAGTAATGGCAACCTACTCCAGTATTCTTGCCTAGAGAATCCACGGACAGAGGAAACTGGTGGGCTACAGTCCATTGGGTCACAAAGCGTCAGACATGACTGAAGTGAATTAGCATATATATGGACTGGGGATTATTTCAAGCATGTTGCATGTGTTATCACATGTCATCCCACAAATAGGAGTTAGGTACTGTGGTTAACAGTTTCTCTTTTTTAAAAAGAATAATTGATTAAAAACTGAGGCATATAGAAAGTGTAACTTGAGTAAGATCATCCAGTTAGTTAGAGGTGGAACCAGTATTTTTACACCCTGGCAATTTAGCTCCAGAGGGTGTATATTCTACTTCCTATGCAATAGATCATATATTGTTCTAGTTAACATACTTGGTGATGATGCTTTAGTGATTGGGGTGGTCTGCAGGGGGAAAATCTTAAACTTAAAAAGTTTTTGAAATGCATCATTTGGAATATATTTTAGCTGGTCAAAGGAGTCTCATCAGTCTAATGAGAGAAACAGATGAATATGGAAAGGCAAGGATGAGAAGAGATGAAGCCTTTCAGCTTCAGAGTTTGGGTCCAGGTCCCAGATGCCTGCAGAGCGCTGTGTCTCCACAGCACAGAAGTAGATGGCAGAGTCTGTGGCCTGGGAGGCTGTGATGTGCAGGGAGCTGAATGTTCCCTCCTGTTTATTGTGGCACTTACTCTTCCTTTCCTCTTCATCTCTAGGCTCAGAATAAGCAAGGAGATGATGCCTCCTCCAGGATTCTGTTGCAACCACTGTAAGGTGATCATTCCTTCTGAGTAATTACAGTTGATTGTACCCTCCTGGGCGCTCAGGTATCGGGGACTCTGCTCCACTCCATTTTTACCACTTACCTCTGTTCTCAAAGATATTGGCAAGCAGAGAATATTACCATTAGTGAAGCATTTCTACAA